TCATCTAATTCCCTAGGTACATAACGGACGACGAGAGTGAATGAATCTGGTATATATTTTGGTTTCACGACCACAATATCAATTCCATTTATCTTTGTTGGCCATTTATCCGAACTGAAGAGAGTAGCGTAATCTTCTTTATTATTAACACCTAACTTTAGCTTTTTTCCTGCCCATCCTACTAATGTAAATCTATTGACTAAAACACCATTGGTTTGCAGTTCTTTCAGTATAAGATCACTTGCATGAAGAGCTGTTGGAATACTATTACGATCCGCATTCGAGGTGAATTCAATAAAGAAACATGGTAAATTAGACGATACCGCGTGCTTCAGTTGATTAAAAGAAATTCGTTTACGATTCGTATTATCTTGATTTATCTCTTGATGTTGTCTTACATCTGACGACATCGAAGACGATGGTTGCTGTGTTTGTAAATTAATTTCTGGTTGTACATTATGTGAGTGCTTATGTGCATTATTGTCAATACCCCTTCGAGGATATTTACGGAGACCTCTTCCGTTGCTGATCGAACCTCCGCTTTCATCTAGTGGATGACCGCGTTTCGGTGTTGAATTCACTGGTTGCATGAGTTGTTGTTGTTGCTGATTTGACTTTGAATAATTTTTCTGCAGGTACTTGTGTACATTTAAAGCTGCTTGCGGACACTCCGATAAAAATCATGATATAAGTTCAACTTGAACATTTGATATAGAACCTTGTTCCAGTGTCTCATATTCCTTTCCAGACTGAAGATCCTCATTAGGATCAATATTAATTGCCTCTGCCATCAGTACTCTCGTATCGACTTAGAGAGGCAGATGCACAAAGAATGTAACGATAACAAAAAAGAAAAATGTGACTATACTTCACGAAGCAAAAAATGAGAATGATATATGTATATATAAACAGTAATGGCACGTTATTTGAGATTGAACAAGGAAAAATGACGATTACTATTATTATTATTAATATGTTGATTTAGAAAAAACCAAGTGACTTTTTAATATTTGTTTGTTTCCAATATGGTAAAGCATAAAATTCATCTTTAGTCATACGAAATTCTTTCTAAAAAAAATATCGAAAAATAAAAAAGAAAAGGAAAACCTAATTTAAAATAAAAAATAAAATAATCATACTTGAAAATCATCATCCGATAGATAAAATTCTATTTTTGATGTATTCACACCTTTAAAAATAAAAGTTTATTTTATAAAAGAAAAAAAAATAAAAATTTTAAATTCAAACCTCCTGGTAATGGACGAGCTCGAAGTTCTTCAATAGTATACTGTTCAGGACATAAATGTATAAGCATATCAATAACTGAATCTTTTTGATCTAATTTTTTTCCTTCCTAAAACAAAATGAAAATTTCATATATACATTGAAAAATTAGACATGAAAGAAAAGAACACAAACCAGTTGATTTTGTTGTCGAACTTTCATATGAATCGTTCATTTTAAAAATAAATTAATAAAACCAATAGGTTCTACACCAGCATATACTATAGAACAACGTAAATCAACAGTTGCTGAACCAGTTTTTGCTAAGCAAAAAAAAAAGCAGAGAAAAATTTCTCATTCAAATAAAACTTAAAAAGAAAAAGAATTTTACCTTTACAATATTCAACAGCTGTAAGAAAAGCACAACGACGTTTAGCTGTAAAACGTATATCTCTTGGACTACCAGCTTGTATATTTGCATTATAAAGTTGTAAATCAAGTTCATCATCAGATAAATCATTCCATCCTTGCCATATATATAATTCTGTATCAGTATCAATTAAACATAATGGTGGTTGATGAAGTTCATATAAATCTGCTTGAGTAAATAGAAATGCTGATATAATTATGATCCGGTGATCGAAGAGGATAAACAAGTTCTTGAGCAACAAATGGACAGGCTTCTGACTAATTACATGATATGTTATTTAAAAGTAAATGAAAAGTAGAAATTAATATGAATAATTTCTTTTTTTTGGTGATTATTAATTGTTCTTTTTTTAAGTATAAATTCATTACTGCACTATATTTGGTAGTTCACAATGATGAATATGATTATATATGTGATTAAAAAAACCCATTGAATAATCAGCATAATAATATATATATATAAAAATGAACGAAAAACTTCTATAAATTTTTTTATCGAGTCTCCCTGCATTACTATGAAGTCCATCGATGACAATCTAAAACTTTGATTGCTTATTTTACTAACTTACAACAATAAGAGAAAAATATCTTTTGACAATCATATTAGTATTGAACAAATTTTAATATTTCCGTCTTTCGTACATTTTTGTTTATTAAACTTTTCAATTTTAAGCCTATTATAATCTTAGAATGAAAAATACACCTATCAACAAACAGAAGAATGTAATAATTTAATGTTATTGAAGCCATACATGAAGTATTGGGGCATTAGTATGTTCTCGAAGATCCTCCATTCGATATGCACGTTTACAATGATTCGGAAGATCACGCATTTTTGACTCCTGTTCATTTTCACCAGTTAAAACACCATGAAAAATGATAAAATTCAATTTTGGCAGACCATTTATTAGTATATGTAATGTTTCAGGAACTTGACTACCATTATGACAGTTTAACTCTATGATTTCCAGATGTGGCAATTGTTTCACAATTAAAGAAACAATACCTATCATATCTGGATATTCCCAATCCGTATAAAAATGTAGTTTTTTTAATCCATTTGACATGAGTATATTGCATAAAGAAGTATCATTGAAAAGTTTGATTACATTCTGCTTGTTTCTTTCATCATCTAAATCATAATCGAATTGATAAAAAAGCTCTAGAGTACGTAAATGAATCATTTTTGATAAGAGCAAACGTAGTTGATATAAATCGAATGAATTATAAATTGTAAGCGAAGTAATTTGACGGCAAGAAACTATAGTTAGTAAGTAACAGAGAAATTCGAGATTGGTTTGAGAAGATCTACCATTCAATGCTATTGTATTGATAGACGTCAAACGATTATTTAAAGCTGTTGATAAAGTACATGACCAATGACTTTGTCTAAATAATTTAGAAAAATCATTTTTTATAAGCAAATGAAATTTATACATACACGTGAACAATGTTTTTATTTAAATAGGTATAAGCACATAAATATTTGTCCTTTCGTGGTAATGTGAAAGCTTTAATAGAATAACTATCATTATATAAAAATAATTCTAATTCGATTAGTATTCGTCCTTTCAATTGTTGCAATGCATTTAACAAAATACTACTTGCGTTCGATAATGATATCGTAGTTTTGACAAACCATTGAACAATATATGTATATGAACACTGATGACAAAGCATTGATAATAACTTGGAAACAACATTCGGTCCAGTCACTATCCCTTCTAATGTGAATTTTGTCAATGAAAATAAAACATCATGATCAAATAATTTATCAAGCAGCTCCATAGCATTAATATCATATTTTAATGTTATTTTAAGACAACGTAGATTAGGAACCAAACGTTTATCAATACGAAACATTTGACTGAAATAGATTCATAAAAAATAATCATAAATACATGATATATTATTTCACATTTTATTGAAATAAAAAAAATACTCTTTTCCATTGTTCATCTACACCATATCATATAGTACCAATGTTCTATTTATACATAATAGTTTATATTTTTAATATAAAAACACTTCTCTTGATAATTTATCATCGATGAAAATTTTTTAAAAAAGCTTTCCATAGAACAATTTTCTATCATATCATCATGTATTGTATCATAGTCATAAAATAATGAACTTTTTATTTTACTCAGCTTTTGTAGAACTCACGTAGATTCTCGAAGAAAATAGTGAGTGTAAGTTTTAAGGTCAAGATTTCGCGGCTTCCCCTACTCCACCCCTCCGCTCTTACAGACCATAGCAACGAAAGAGAATATTAGAGACCTTATAGCGATCAGGTTTAAAAAAATGAATATACATAAATACATATATATATAATAGCTTCATTCGCCATATAATTCAATGCTTCTCATAATATAAATGTAAAATTAAAGAAAAAAGTAATGTTAAAAATGAAAAATACTGAGCGAATAGCAACAAAGAAAACGAAAGATAAAGGCACCTGTCAGAAAAATGAAAAATGCTTGATTTTATGCTATCTATATTTTGAATCTTAGTGCAATGAAGCTGAAGAATCTACGTGAGTTCCATATTTCAGCCCCAAAGGGGCTGCGCTAGCGGCATCATCAGAAAATTGACCATGATAGCGCTCAGCTCGCTCTCCAGATTATTGTTTTGACAAACTTTTGAGTTCTTAGAAAAGCGTTTTTCTCAGCATAATCTTGTGTCTCTCTTGGATAAAGTAGCCAAAGTCAGTTATCAACATTATCAAAGAGAATTTCTAAAAGAATTGGATTTTTTAAAGACCAATCAAAAAGGAAGTTCTTCTGGTATGAAAAGATCCTGTATGAAGAATTATTTTCTGTTAGATTTTGATTTCTTTGAAGGAAATAAACAGACAGAAATCTGTCTTATACTTTTGTTTAACTGACAATTGCATCAAGTGTGAAAAAAATTTCGCAGTTATACGGAATTCTTCGATAGTACAAGAGATTAAAATGTTTCATTCCAATAGTTTTTGACAAAAATTTTACAAGATAGAAGTACTGCTGTTTGACTTCGACTTTTGATAATATAGAGAAATTGTATTTGGCTGAATTCAAAATAGTGTTTCTTATCTGTTACAATAGGAAGTCTCTTCAAACACCGAGCTAATATTTTCTCGTCTTTTTTCAGGCATTCTATTATAACTATAGATAAATGTACTCCTCTACTCAGTAATTTCAAATTAATCTATCATGATTTTTGTACGAAATCATTCAGTAGAAACGATTCTTGGTTAACAAAACCTTTTTATGTTACATGTTCCACTTATTGTTAGCAGTAATTTGAATCACTAAATTATGTTTTGAGAATTCGATTACTTGGAAAAACCGCGGGAAAGCAAAATTCAAAGCTCTGTTTAAGCGAGGAATGTTTGTCGAGCTTAGTCTTATGCGTTAGTTACTCGAGAATCTGTGCTCGTAGTAATAATACTATCTAAGATAATAATGATAGTTTCAAATAACATCCATTTGAATTAGAAATAAAAAACTCTTACCGAAACAATCATGATAAAACTTTCTCAATAGTACGTGTCACTACTGAAATGCTCTGTCAAAATGAACTTTACTAGATGATTTTGCCGAGAGAAGAAGATTTTAAAATAGGAACAAATTAAAAAAGATTGGGAAGGAAACTTAGCAATGCATCGCATCATAGTTCGATTAATCTTATGATGTTTGAAAAATGCGGGTTAATTGGTTCGTACTGTATATTAGAGTTATATTCGTAGTGCATTCACATTTAGTATTACGCGAACCATCAAATATGCTGTTTTGTTTTTCTTATCTGGTGGCACTTATATGACTCAATTACTGTGAGATTCTGTCAATATACTTATGGATACTTGATCTTGTTGGTGCTAATACAATTGCTATTTCAGATGATATAATCAAAACAGATACAGTTACTATGAATCGTTTTTTTGGTCTTTGGAAACTATTATTAATCTCATCTAACACAAGATATTTAAAAGAAAGGAGTATATTATTCGACTTGAGTTTTTAGAATTTATTATTCTATATGAAGGAATCTATTTAGAATGCTTAAGATGTTTCATGCATTCTTTTACTTTGGAAAGACTAATTAAACACATTTAATAGAATGAATTCATATATAGCTCTCGTGTGTTGTTTATGAATCAATTTTGCTGCTTTGTGAATACCTCACATTTATTGTTTAACTCACATTCTACGTTCCCTTGAATCCTTAGAATTATTGAAAGCATTATTCTGCCATAGGTCTTTCAATTTTTGATAAGAAACAATTTCTCAAATTCTGGGGTGGTAGGACTCAAACATACGGTGGTAGGGCTGAGCCCTCCCTGGCCCTACCCTAGCGACGTCGCTCGGCTGTGCTAACAAACTTTTTTCATCGTCTAATTGCGGCTATTGACACTTATTTCGAAGATGTTCTTCCTTTGACTAATATTTAACTAAATATATTGTTAGTATAAAAAACCTATAAATAAAATCTAAGAGAAATTTATTAATGGAAGATTAACAAATAATTAACCAATATTATGAGCATATTTTCATAGACAATCTATATTTATTTAACTATTTATTATCAAATATCCACAAATGTGAGTATCAGAGACTTGCTATAACAGGATAATTTATTGCATAAGAAAAAACATTTCTTTTTTCTCATGTAAACTCGTATTAAAATTCAATGGTTACAGTTTAAAAAAAAACAATTTTTTGATGTCGAAACTAATCAAGAGTATTTGAATTTTAAGCTTATTTTGCAAGATTAACTTTTGACAATAATTGATTAATGACTTTTATCGAAAGAGAATGATTCTATATTATAACTTATTTTGCAGTATGCTATAGTATTTCTTTAAGATTTCATTGATTTTTATTTCATAGTAATCTTAAAGTTTTGTGTTCTATAATTTTTAGACAAAAAAAAATTAGAAGAATTTTTCTTTCAAAAAAACAGACCGATTGAATCATACTTGTATTGTGATTAGAAATGAGTTGATTGTCTTTTACTAACGAATAACATAGTAATCTGTATGTTGATCTCATTGAAAATAAAAACTACTGCTTACTTCTATCTTCTTATATTCATTGAGTTCATTAAAAAATTATTGAAATAACTCTGAACTTTTTCAAATTATCATCCTTAGAATTAAACACTCCAAAGTTAATAAACATTGTTGAAAAAAAAATATTATCAATTTAGAAATGATAATCACTTCTAACTATTATCTATTATAGTAATATGATTACATGAATTTACATAAGTATATTATATAGATTATTTTGTTTTTAACAAAAGAAACTTACTTGTTATAATTATACAATAATGGATGTTCATCAGGTAGCCAAGGAGTACTTAGATCAAAGCTGAGTTCTTCCAATTGTGGATAATATTCAAGTAAATGTGAGAGAAAAGTTGGTGAACATTCTCGAAGTACAAGTGATTGTAAGTGTAAATGATTTGTTTCAATCTTAATAAAAGTTTTATTAAGTGGTAGAACTATTTGAGTGTCTAGAGTGTTGTATATATGCCGCCTGAATCGAAGGCGACATACATGTAATAAAGGAAATAAACGAAAGATTCTTTTATAATATGCACCCTCAGGTACACCTTTAAATGTATATGCAGCTTGATAGTATTCTGTATAATGTACGTTAAATATGACGAGAGATGTGTTAGGTGTAGATGTATTGAGCATTAATTCAAAACAAGAACGTTTAATATCGATTAAAGATAAATGACGAAGATTGATAAATGCAGATAAATTAGATGCTAACCATAAACCATTATCAATAGCTAATGTATGTGAGACACACAATGAAATAAGCCGATCACATACATTTGGTTGTAATAAATGTGCGTAATAAATTTCGGTGACAGCGATACTCATACCATTCAAACCTAAGTTAGTGCGAATAAATGGTATATTGCTAACGATAGCAGTAAAACGAGGATTGAGATTAGAAAAAATATTGAATATTTCATGGAACTGGAAATAAATAAATATCTCATAGAATAATTCGACAGAGAGATCATCCAATTTTGTTATCATATTTCTTTTTTAAATATCATACGATTGAATGCTGTGTATCATTCTTATTTAATAACTTCGTAAACAATAGCACAATGTGGTTATTGTTCTCTTTGTCAACAATTGGCACTTTGAAATGATATTATCGTTCTTATTCGTCAGTTCCATTGATGAACAACAAATGGATGAACACAATTTCTATTTTCTTTTTCTTCTTGTGATATCATACCAAATAGTTTTCTTTATATTTTTCAGTTATTATTATTCTTATATTCGAAGTAAAATATTTTCAGAAGGAAATTAAATAGAAAAGATTCTTATTAGATTTTCATTCCAGTTTATCAGATAATCAATAATAAAACGTTATACATATACAGTATGTAAAAAAATTATTTGAACACTTCGTTATATATTCTTTGTAAAGCAATTTTCACCATGAAGACAAAACATTTTATTAACTCTGATCACATCATTAGATAGCCTGAAATCTCTAGTTTATTTCTCAACAAAAAGAAATTTTTTATCAAAAGTTCTTCATGAACTATTACAGGTTTTTCAAAAACCACGTGATTTTCTAGGCAAAAAAATTATTTAGACACTTCTATTTTTCTTTTCAGGGTGTGTTTGTGGGTGTGG